AAGGAAAAAAGCTGCCAATCGTGAGTTTTAAAATAACAGAAAATATTTTCAGCGGGAAAGAGAAACCAAGGAAGTCTTTTTTTCTTACACTTCTAGTTAGTAAAGATGTGAGTTCATAAACATTTTTCTTTTCCATTTAGGCTTACTTTATTCTATATCCTAAGTATCATCTTCTTAAAAAAATACTAATCAAAGAATTACTAAATAAACAATTGATACTATAAAATTATCTTCCAGCCAAGCATAAATTAGGCGCACATGTACAATCAGAGTTATTATATGCTATTTTATTGTCTTTCCTTAGGTATATCTTTTTGTCTTAAGTCGACTTTTAATACGGTATGAGCGTCTACACGTGTATAAGTTACATGGATTATGGCATTCTTTATATAGTAATTTGTTCATGCGCATGGAGAGAGAGAGAGATGATAAATGGATGTGAATTATTTCATGAAAAGAAAGTATTTTGTCCCATCTCTATTGTTTAGTAATATTGTTTACAATCAATGATACAGTGCAGTATTTTTTTACTTTTGTCAACTTGAAATCCATTTATTCATCATTATCCAGGTAGACAAATTAATTTCCATTCACAATATAATATACCCATCCATACATAAATATGTAAATTCAGAAAGAAAAAACTACATGAGACAAGGACCAAGCCCTAATTTATTTCCTTCTCATTCTCTCTCTCTTCAATGTATAAACAAAAGTAAATAATAAACAAATAAATAAATTTTATACTACTGACCATCTTCATTTTCTTTGTATATCACTTTTTTTCCATCATCCATCATCATACTCGTCATGTTCATCATCATTAACACCATTTTTTATTTATTTATTAGTCAGTTGATATGGTTATCAAAACTCTTCATGTCTTTATTCATTTTCTTCTCTTTCCTTATCTATTGTATTGTTTTCATGTTCTTCATTTTTTTGTCAAATTTCTGTTTAATTTACAATTCAGTTTTTAGATTAGTTTCAATTTATTTGTCTCAGAAATTCTCTTTAAGTAGAAAGATTAAAAGGAATAGTTTGTTTTATTACTTTTCTTTTAGAGAAAGAAGTATCATGACACGTGGGCACTTGATTATCAGAAGAAAAAACGTTACTTCAATAATAATAATTATTATTATTGTTATTAATATTATTATTCAAGGCTGTTTGACATACCTAAGGGGTGGTGGTGGTAGTTGTAGTAATAGTAGTAGTCGTGATTATGATTATTATTGTTATTCTGATGACCTTGTAATTAAGTCAATATAATGAATAACTAAAATAAATACAATTGACGATTGAATACAACCTGTTTAAAACCCAAGAATAGATGATAAATAGGTCTCTATTTTAAAATGTTAATACGAAAATAATATTAGCTTTATTTTATTCTAGACATCTTTATTTTTGATTGATATTTGTCTCTTATTGAATATGAATGTAAAATGAATTTTGTTTTATTAATATGAAATAATAATATTTTATAAATAATATCTTGATTTGTTGACATTTTGCTTTAAAATACTTCATTTTAAGTTGAAAAGTTTATTAGCCTGATTACAATGATTGTTCAATAATAGTTATTGCTTAATAATTGAATTCATGATTCAATTGGAGCTAGACCACTATAGAGAACTTGGAAGTATTGGATGGCTATTTCATTCTAGTATGAAACTCTTCATCAGCTTAAATGGGTTGGTGTCCGACGAAATCTCAGTATGGATTCGAGAAACCTGTTCAGCTTTTGCCGACTTATGTCACCTATGGTGAAAGTAAAATATTCGTCTATCAATTGAACGACGAGTATACTGCACAGCAGTTCGTTCTGTTCTACTTTACAGCTGTGAAACGTGACCATAAGGGGTTGAAGATACTCGTAAGCTACTAGCGTTTGACCACAGATGTCTCAAAAATATTGCTCGCATCTGCTGGGATTACCGGGTAAGTAATAGTGAGGTTAGACGCAGGGTATTAGGAAATGATGGTAAATCAGTTGATGAGGTTGTGAATCTTCATCGACTGACATGGTTGGGCCACGTGTGGCGTATGCCTGAACACCGATTACCACGACGTGTAATGCTGACTAGTGTTGAGCATGGTTGGATGAAAGTTAGGGGCGTTCAAACTAAAACGTAGCATCAGTGCTTGAAGTCACTAACTTCTGGTCTGAGCCATGTTGGTAGATGCGGACTACTTGGTTGGGGTCCGCGTGACTATCGTAACCAATGGTTGGAGACTCTGTGTGACGGCTCGGAATAGATCACAATGGCGTAGGTGTATACACTCTTTGTCTTCCTTTAAACTATGAAATTAAAGTCGCTTCATATCTTTCTTTCTACGAACTAATTCCTTCTTCCTGTACTATGTTCTATGAATTTGATGTTCATCTTGTTTGTGCTAATGAGGTATGGCAGCTTGGATCGATGCATATATGTGCCTGGTTCTACGTTGCAGCTGACTAACCAAATGACTGACACATCCACGCAAATACTTATCTCAATGAATTGCTAATCTCATTCCATACTTGGTTGACTGCTTAAATTATAATCTTTCAGAAATATTGTTTATTTTTGAAAATGTATACAATTGATAGACATGTCAAAAAAAAACTTTATAGATGTGTTATATTTTATTTCAGAGTTTTTATTAAAATTTTGAGAAAAAAGCGATCTAATAACTTGAGAAACTTGACTGTTACTTCAAGTTTTGTAGTATTATGTTGAGTAAAACTCATATTCTATAGTTAAATATAAAAATTAACTAAAGATGAAAGATATTGAGAGGCCATAACATTTTAGTTTTGATGAGATGTTGTCAGTAACGCCATTATTGAGACGACGAGTCAGGGATAACATCAAATGATTATCTTAAGATGGTTTATGAATAAAGCATTCAGTTTTAAATAATCTTCATAGTTCTTAACCTTATTCAGGAAATTGTAGAGTATCATTTCTATTTAAACAAACTTTCACATGATAGATTATATAACAAAATGAAATAGCTCTTTGTGAGTGAATAACACTATACTGTCCATAAGATTTTGTGCTTGTACTCTATTGATAAGTCTTATATTCATACGAAATAGATATCTACCTTTATTTTAAATGATTCTTCAACTGGTATAAGTTGTTGAGTTTAAAAAATTACATTTAAAATACATTTCAAACAGTTCTCACAAAACTACTTCACTTTTTAAGCCAACCATAAGATATACTTCCATAGAAATGTCATCTTCATAACCATGACATTATATTAATAAACTGTTACCTGTCTCTAAGTAAATAATCTCTCAATCTTTCTAGAAATGATTATAATCTATCAATCATTGATTGATTATACGGGTCCAAAATGAGATAAAGAATAGAAATTCATTCTGAACATAAAAGTCTCGTGCTACTTAATATTCATTATGTCACCAATGTCATGAAAAATAAAACTTGATAGAATGTCTTTTTCACCTGTCTCTTCATTTGAGTGGGGTGGAAGTGGGGGAACCTAAACATTGTACTATGTACTAGTCATTGCTATTTTATTTTACTTTGGTAAAATTATGAATTTTCATCACAGATCACAAGCTTATAATTATTATTACTATTATTATCATTGTTATATGGATCTGTATATCCTGTATCCTTGTGAATACATACCCCAAACTAGTTTTTCTAATTTTTCTAACGATATAAACATACCTAATTGCGTGATGTGAAAATTTCTAAGAAAATTAATCTTAATATTTAAATATTCTATATTCGATCGGTAAATAAATTTGTTTATCTTTATTTATTATCTAATTGAAATGATATAAGAAATTTTAATAAATATGAATAAACTTGTTTTAAGTCATCTCTACATAATAATGAAGTTAGCAACTGAATTTAATAGAAGATTAATATAATGTTTAAATCAGTCAAAGAATTTATTTTAGTAACTGAATAAAGTAAAATAATATTATATTATAATAGATATGACTAACATACATAACATGAATTGAATTCAATAGAAATCTGTCGTCTTCTACCCCCTCCTCCCCCTCCTCCTCCTCCTCATCACCATATAATTATTATATAATGATGCTGATGATTACATCAGAATATTTCTATGATATGTCTATCGATCTATCTCTCATTCCTTTAATGATATAAACCATTCATAGAATGATCTATTCATTAGTTCATGTCATCAGAGATTATTTTATGTTAAAAATGTTTGAATATTATTGCATGCATTACATGTATATTTTGCTTACATGTGTCAGTCTACATCAGTTGGATCTTGTTAAATTCAATGTATTTGATGGTATTGTTTTTTTTTAAAATCCTACTCTAGTCATTTTATCTCTAGGAGAAATCATGCACACTGGTTACTAGGATCAAGTTATAATATATAGAAACTAAGATGATTCAACGTAGGATTGTTGCACAAATATTATAGTAATGAAGATAATAATTACAATAGTTTTTATAATTATTAAAATGGGTTTGAATTAAACTCTAGTTAGTTTTTTTTAGACTGAATTTTGATTAATCTTTGCTAGTATTCGTCCATATGTTCAAACTGATAAGGATTTATACATAATAACCGTCGAATAAAATAACGACCATTCGGGCTGTGTAGTTTAGCGGACAATACATTAGACATTTGAATTGTAAGATAACGAATCCGAGTCCCGGTGTGAATATTACAACTAGAGTACAGATATTATCTATCTGACATGTTCAAAGTAGGACAAAAATTGTTCCGTAGAATCCATTGCTTTTCATGATCCGTATATTCTACACAGAGTATGATAATTGTTTAATCACAAGAGAGAGAGAGAAAAAAAGCGATTCAAGTTGTAAGCTTAGGATTGCTGACAAGTTGTGAACAACTATATCTCCTTTTTTTAATTTTTAATGACTCTTCTGATTGAACTTATCGTCATTATAATTAAAACATTTGTAAAATAATAATAAAATAGTTTTAATTATCAAAATGATATTTTAATACTATACACTTACTTAAAATAATCTTCCCTACAATATGCTTTACAATCACGTACATAACAAGTTGAATCATTCATCAATGAACGTAAACATTTTGAACAATTTAAACAACGTATGTGCCATTTCAAATTTGGTTGAACATTTAACATAAATGGATCGTAAATTATTAAACCACAACCAACACATTGTGATAATTTTGATGAAGACAATGATGATGGCGTTATTGTTGTTGAGATGGTTGTCGATGATAATGGTGTAAATTCTACTGTAGCCGCTGTTCCTATCGTCGAAAATGATGATGATGAATATTTCACATTGGCATCATTTGATCCATTTATAGTAGGATTCATTAATTTATCATCTAATTCAATGTATTGTTTCGTATCAGATTTAAAATTTATTCCTGACAATAAAAATTTATAAGAGAATATAATGATAACAGTGATAATCACAAAATGCTTTATGAATAAGAACTTAAGACGAATTATTGATTACAAATATATGAATCTAGTGTTAGATGGATAGAGATAGTTGAAAGGAATCGTTTAGTTTTCATAATAACCGGAATTATTTACCAATTTGTATCATAAAACTTCAAGTGACTGACTTTAGCAGTGATAATCAAATCTACTTTACCCAGTCTCACAGTCAGAAACGTTATCCTTGAGCAACCTAGGCGTCGACTAACTACCTGTAGGGTTTAGATTTTTATAATGGTTGATCATTGGTCAAAATGGCACTTCATCGATGAAATCTGATGAACACTAAGGTCTAGACTAGCATCACAATAGTAACTACTCAGTAGTTATTCACTTCAACTATATACTACTTTGAGATTATCAACTGAAATATATAACTTCCGTAGAGTTTCCGAAAGAACTAGTAATCATCAACGTGATCTACACAGAATCAAAGGTTTTTATTGATGAAGAGTTTTAAAATAGAACAAAATAGTTGTACAGTATCACTATGTGATTTTTAATATTCTGTATCAAACAAAGATTTTGAAAAATTGAAATTGGTTTCAACGATTGAGATTATGAGTCAAATGAGGCTAAGCGACCATGGAAAACCTGGAACCACTGGTTGGCCGTTTCGTCCCATTATGGGACTCCTCAGCACTGCGCATCCACGACCCCGCCTCGCGGGATTCGAACCGAGGTCCTATCATTCTCGCGTCAGTTTGTGACAAGCAAAAAAGATCTACCACAATTTTCTCAAGGTTATCATGATTGAAACTTGTGTCTTTCGATTTTTAATAACGTGATAGCTTTCAGACTAGTTATTCACTAAACACAACCTAAAAAAATTAATTTTTACTTCTAATAAGGATATTTTGGTTATTTCCAAAGAGCTTATCACTAATTTCGTTTCAGAGGTTGTATGAAAATTATTTCAACTTGTAACTGACGATATCCAGATAAGTTGTGAGTGAGGTGATCAAAAACAATGGTACTAGATGATTGATCATTTTACATCAAGAACTGTGTGAAGTTAGGAATGTGAATCAATAGTCTAAGTGTTAATCACTCAATACCACATCTCTACGTTTAAGGATTGATTCCGGATACAGTTGTGAATCTTCATTTCTAAAGAACCTTGTACTATGTTGAAACAGCGGCCAAATACTTTAGGACTTTCAGTGATATCTCAATTGATATCAGTTCGCCATAAAAACCCATCTACCGTAAATATTATTTTTTAAAAATTAACTCATTATAAATAGATTGTATATTTGTAATATCCCAATGAGTAGAAAAAATAGATTTTCTGACGTTTCGTGACTTGGTGTAAGCCGCTTCTTCAGAGAATAAATAACAAAATCAATCCAAGTTTAAATAGTACAACAGAACAATCGTTTATACGAAATTATCAAGTCAAACCTTGGTAACAATACCTATAAACAACTCATTATGTAACATATAGTATCTAATTGAATTATATAACATACTTTTCTCTAAATACACATACAACTCAATTGTGGGATATGAATGATTACATACGAGTACTTCATAAGATAAACTGTAATGTCTTGATAAAATACTACAGTTCATGTTCATAAGTAAAACCATTTATCTGTATACTACACTTAATTTGAATGTTAATTAATTGGTGACAATCAACAAAACTTTGATAGATTCATCATTGGTTAAAAAATTTGGAATATAATTTTGATGGAATTTCGTTCTCTAAGCTGGATGGTTTGGTCGTGAAGTTTTCATCGTTCTTCTGAACGATATCAGCACAAACTTCACGTCTAAGTGAGGTGTTCAAATTTCTCCAAATATGGTTCACAGCTTGTCTTGTAGACAAGCTGAGTTATAAATCTTCTCCACCATCTCAATTTTGGATATAAACATGTTTATTTTTTAAAGATTATAACTTTATCCTGCAAATTAGTGTTAATCAACTTTGAACATCGATTTCTGTAGTTAACATTGATTCAATATTCACTGCAGTAATACTAATAACACTCTTTTTGATTCTTTCTTTACTTCTCTAATTTCTATTAACATTTTCATTTTATTTATTTAATTATTTGGCCTTAGGCTATAAATTTTGAGAAGAACATATGAGAGTGGGAGTGAATGATTTGAAAGTACTAGTTATGTGTCCACTTTCCGTTCAAACATTTCTTTGTCATTTTAGGTCAGTGTATATTTGAGTATTAAAATATATACAACTTTACATAATAGTTCTTTTCTGTCTAATATGTATGTATGTATAACGAGTTATTGATGTTAAATAATAAAAAAATATTTATAGAACAGAACCAATCTTTATTTTTTTGTCTGAATAACAATTCATTTTATTTGGTTTAAGACAAATTTGTTTCATGACTGTATCATTCCAAAGATAATCGAAACAACAGACATAGGGAAAATTGTTTTCTAATGTAATCTCACATATTGCTCTGTTTAAAACTTTCTTCCGTTTTAAATAATAATAATAATAATAAAACTTTTATAAAATAATTAAAGCACAAATCAGTAATAATGTAATTGTTTCCTTTTTCCGGTCAACTAAATGATCATCTTATATTAGTAATTCCATTCTGTTACTAGATATCTTTCTATTCATAATAAGGTTCTCAGATGTAGTAGCACTGACATATATTATTATGGACATATAAAAGACTTAATCAATCTGTTTGTGTGTTTTATTAAAATGATGCAGAGCAAATGTCGTTATTTCTTTCACTGATTGTCGTCATTAGTCCGAAAAAAATTATCTATCTAACTACCTACCACATCCGTCTTCTTTTTTCTTCAATGAAAAACCTCGAGTTGCAATAAATTTAAAAGTTTTATTTACTACATAGACCTATTTCTGTTTTCTTTTTTAAATCGTTTCCTGTGTATTTCGTGTTTTTAGGTGAATATATATATATATATATATATATATATATATATGCGTAGGTGAATACCAATATTTATTTCATGGTGGACAGGGATTTTACCACTTTTTCTTTGATTCCGTTAAAAGATTTAAAGAAATAACTGATTATTTATTAGTCTACAAGAAAGAGGAGAACAATATATATACTCCTTTTAAAAAAATAACGAAAAAAGTGTTTAGAGAAAAACGGCCTTCATTTCAAACCTTATATTGTTTACGGTCGATTTGGTGACGTAATAGTTTCATAATTAATGATATTGTTATTAATGAAGATAATTATAATTCAGAGTAATTACATACTCGATATACAAGTCTGTGAGTAGTATTATAAACAATAAAACAGTTTATCTGAAATTAAAATTGGTATCATTTATTTAGTTAATCAACTCTTTCCAAACACTGTTTATATGACTTTGGGGTATATAAATTTGTTCCCTTTGTAAGTGCCGTAAGATATTCTATGGTAACTTTCGTGATATACGTTCTAACTTTTTAAAAACATATGTATTATGTAGATTACACGTATTGCTTATCGATAGGAGGCAGTCAAGATCAAACTAAAATCCGATAATTTCTATCTGAAGTTATTCAGCCGACAAATCACAAAATAATATTAGACTAAATACCATGATGACGATTATACTATAAAATCTGAATGATTTAATTCACTCAACTATTAGCAGTGATTGATTACTAACCTCATAAACTTCATAGATAAAATGTTTAAATAATATTCTGATGGTTACTTTCATCATGGACTGATATTATTTAAGGAATCAATATGTCCTGAATAGTTCTTTCGAACTACTTTATAACTTTTTAGTAATGTTCATCCATAATCTTTATATTTTGTAATGAATATCCTGTCTTTGAAAATAAATAATTTATAATTCAATTACAACTATTTTGGGAGGTGCTCACTCAAAAAAAAGAAAAATATGCTAATTAAATCTATAATTTACTATTAAATAATCTGCTCAATCTTGTTTTTCATAATAAATTTTCAAAAAATAAACCAATCTAAAACGGATGTGATTGGTTATTTCATTAGTGTTTTCTTATAAATCCTTATCTACTGATCCATATATTTAAAACACTTCTTACAATTCACTATCAAATATTCATATAATACATAAAGTTTTTACTTGACTTATCAATAGTGTCATTCTTTTATAATATCAATTGTTTTACATGAGACAAGTATGCTAATTACTCAGTGGGATAAACTTACACATATTTATATATAATTTATATATTCTATAATCTATGAATGATAACAAGTATACTGTTTTTCACTGATTTAATTATCTCTAAATAGATAGTGTTTTAATCTATTTTGTTTTTAATAGAAGGTTGAATGATTGTTTATAGTTTTTTCTATGTGTGCAGATGACAATTTTGTCATTTGTAAAGGTCAGTTTTTTTAAAAAAAATCTTATTTCCATTGTATGAGACAATTAGTCTGGAATATACAAAGTATATGTACATTAGAGTAATATCAAATCTATTCCTTGTAAAAATAAAACTCTATTATGTTATACATTATTATTATTATTATCATTAGTAGTAATAGTAGTAAACTGTCAAGTGTATGCATATTGATCCAATTTTCAATTAATTGAATTCAGTTTTATGATGAATATATGTATATGAAGATTATGTTTAAGATAGGGAAAACTTGTTTAAATGTTACTTCATATATGAAATGATCAATAAAACACTGTAAATAGTTGTGTTTTACTTTAATTTTTTATTATTAGTTTTCGAGAAAATATACTAATAGAATGATAAATTGAATTTTCCGTTTATTTATTTGTTTATTTGTTAATGTTGGAAAAATTAGTTGATCACTTATGAATGTGTAGTATTTGTGAAAAATGTCTATCTGGAATTTTTAGTTTCAAATTATTGATTGAATCATTTCATTAAATATTCAAGATAACATTAATAGACTGTTAAGAAAAAAGCTTAGCTGAATTAACCTAATTGTATATACTTAGTTAA